GCGCGAATGGGTATACCGGCTGCCAAGAGCCTGGTGCTTGCCCCGGCATTGGCAGCTGGTGTGGGCCTGCTTGCGGGCGCCGCGCCGCCGCCCTCGCTGCCCCGCGGGGGGTGCCTCGGCCGCGACGATGATTGCGGTGCGCGCTGCCACTGCAGCGTGTTGCGCGATCGTTCCCACGAAATCTCTCCAACGCACAAGAAATCTTGCAATTGTTACAAACCAGCAGTCACCAAACTTCTGAAACGGGTCATATCAAGCCTGTGGGGGGACGGGTCTCAGGCGCGACAGGCAGATTGGGGCCGCCGTCTGCGCTGCACGCGGCCACACCCGGCCACCTCAGCGCCACGCGCCGCCCCTCCAGCGCCGCACGCTACTGCTCCGCCGGCGCCTGCTGCTGCTTGTGCTGCGCCCGGATGAACTCGATCATCTGGGATGGGGGGCGAGGGCCGGCCGGGAAAGCGTTCGCAACTCAGGAGAGCGGCGCCGGGGCCGCGCAGCAAGGCGCGATTAACGAGTGCGCGCGCGCCTGCGCCCCTAGCCACACGCCGACCGCGGAGGGCGCACCGCCATGCCCCAGCGGCGGCTGCGTGCGCGGCCCCGCGCCCTGCGCGCCGGGGCAGGCAGGAAAGGGGGCGCCTATGCGCGCGCGGCCCGCACCTCGCGCGTGGTCGGCGGGACCTTCGGCTCTGGTGTGCGGCTGGATTCGACCGCCCACTTCACAGCGAATGGCACGGTCAAACCTGGAGGGTGGTGAAACGCAGGCCACACGAGGATCGATGAGTTAAAATCGGACAGCGGTGTGGGGGCGGAGGGGCGTCCCGACGCCGCACGCCCTCGCCGTTGCGGCGCTGCATTTGGGGTGTGGGCGTGCCGAGCGGCCGGCCCCGCCGCCAGCCTGGGGGCGGCGCGCACCTGCCAGGCACCAGTAAAGCGTCCAGGCCTTGACGGGCTCCCTGCGGGGCGCGCGACCGCCATCACGCACGGCGGATTGGGTGCGGCGCTGACTCCTCCCGCGGCGCGGCTGGCCCCAGCAGCTGGCTGGGCAAGGGCCCAGCCCCAGGGCCCCAGCAGCAGCTTTGGGGGGGGCGCCCGTATGCGGTGCATGTGTGTATACAAGCTGTCGCTAAGCAGGCCGTGTCGCCATCCGCCCCACCTGAAAGTGAACTTGCGGAGGGACGCGCCGATCGTCATGGCTGATGGCAAAGCAGCAGCGCGGCCGCTGCGTTGCTGCGACCCCGGCCGCGGCTCCCGCTAGGCCTGCTTTTGCGTTGGTGTGGCAAAAACACGCTGCGCACACGGCCGCGAACACAAGTTGTGGGGCATTTGCACGTCAGCCGGTGCTGTCACTGCTGCATGCTGGATTGCGCACGCTGCGCAGTTTGCGTCGACCCAGTTGCTGTTTGCGCGCGGGGCCGCTGGGCCGCTGAGCACCGTCACACCGCCCGCGAGGCCACGTTATGAATGTCCATGTCCTCTCGTTCTCACCACGAGTGTTGGGAGCCGTGGGGGAATGATCTAATGAACACCGGTTATCTGGTGGCAAGCATTCATCAGCGATGCCTGCCGATGCATATATGCTCTACTCACAACCGTCCAGCCCTCAAACGGCACCCCGAAAAACCTCTTGATCAATCGGCATGGGAGCAGCCGCATCCCCGTAGTCCTCAGGCCTTTCCACCTCCCGCTTTCAATCACACATTAGTCGGCGCATCGCACGACACCCCGCGCTGCTCACCCGAGGCACTACTGTAGACACTCACTCGTGGCGAGAGACAGGCACTCGGAACGCACAGCCCGGCACGTAGAGCGCGTGGAAGACCCCTCGTATTGAGACCCGTGTCTTCCCTGCCCGCCACCTGTGCGGTGCAAGGGCGCGGCGGGTCAGGCACATTTGGCGCCGCGCCCCCTTTTCGGGCGCCGGCAGGGGCCTCACTTTCCACGGATGGACCCCTATGGCAGCATCCAAGGCATTGTTCCCAATGAGCTCGCAGGAGTGCCGCAGGAGGTGCTCGAGGTAAGCCCCCAGCGCGGCGCTGGCGCGCCCGCTGCGCGACGCTGACTGCGCTGCGGTGTGTGATTGCGCGGCCCGCGCCGCCCTTCGGCCGCACCATCCAGCACTCTTTGCGCCTGCCTGCCTCCCTTGCCACGCCCCCCTGCCCCCTATCTCCCACCCGCCCTGCCGTTCTGCGACCCCCTGCATCGACCCGCCGCGGCCTCCAGGAATATGTAATACAGCGGCTGCGCCGCTTCGCGCCCGACTTTGCCGCCGAACTCGGGGGGCCGCGCAGCAGCCAGCTCGAAATAGAGGGAGCGCTGCTGCGCACCCTGCAGCGCCAGGCGCCCCCGCCCACAGCGGCCACGCCGGCGATGTCGCAGGCGGCGGCGCCAGCCATGTCCATGAGCGTGGCGATGACGCCGCCGCTGCAGCAGCAGCAGCATCACCACTACGCACATCACCACCACCAGCAGCAGCAGCAGCAGCAGCAGCAGCAGCAGCAGCAGCAGCACGAGCAGCAGGCGTCGGGCCAGCTGTGTTTCACGCACGACTGCAAGTGAGCACGGCCTGCATGCAGGGGGGTTGCCGCGCTCGCACCGCCGGGCGGCCCTCGGGGCCCACTGCTGCGGCGGCGGATTATTGACTCTGTTGCTGCGGCTGATTGCGGCCGACACTCATGATTGTGTGTGCCGACGGTCCCTGCCCCGCCCCATTGCTGCAGGTACATCGGCTGCCGCGACCGCACCTGCGCCTTGTGCCGCAACAACCCCCACAAGAAGGTGCGGGGTCGGGGTAGCCGGGCACCACCGCGCGGGGCACAAGGCACGACACCCCTGTCGCGCCCTGTGTCCCGCTGGATTGCGCACTCTTGACGCTTCCGAGGCCGCGCCTGATTCGGGCGGAGCAACCGCCCCTCAACGGCCCAAATCACCGTCAGATCACTCTCGACCTCCCGCTCAACCTCGGAAACCGCGCAGTGCGCCGAGGACGACAACTTTGATGAGGCGTATGCAGACGGCCAGGTGCTGCGCTCCAAGTGTGAGGCGGACATACGGGTCGCGCTGCGCGGCGGCGTGGGGCTGGGGGCGCAGGAGGTCCCCGGCCTGCTGATCAAGGTGCGGCGCGGGCTGCTAGGGGCGGGGTTGGCATGCGTATGTGGGCGGTCGCCGCGCTGATGGCGGCGGCGGGCGGCGCTTCGGCTGGCGGTGCCGCCGCTGCAGGCTGCCGCTGCTCGGGGCCGCAGCTGCAAGGCCGCCGGGGTCGCTCGCGGCGCCCCGCGGCCGTCTGCCGGGCTGCGCCATGCCTGGCCCTGCCAGCCGGCGCCCGCAGCGGCGCACCCTGAGCTGTCATGCGCTTGCTTGGGTCCCCCCGCTCTCACCTCTCTCCTCGCCTTTCCCCCTGGACCGCAGCTGAGCATCATCAACGGCGACAGCACCGGCGTGTCGGAGCTGCTGCTCGACCCTAATGTGAGCTTCAAGGTCAAAGGCAATTTGGGGAATGGATTAGACCGAGGGTCGGACAGGATGTGTTGGTTTGTCAGGATCTGAGGCTGAGTCGGTGATAGAGGCCGCGGCCGCAGCCAGCTGCAGCAAGCGGCTCGGGCGGGCCGCGCGGACGGCGCGCGTCACGCCGCCCACCTGCGAGCGTCGCGCGTTCGCGCGTTCGTGCGGCCTCTCGCCCCCGCAGGGCCGCCCGCTGCTGTCGTGCGGCAACAGCACGCTGGGGCAGCAGCTGCCGTCCGGCTACGTGCTGCTGTCGATCAAGTGGAGCCGCGCGGACGGGAGGGAGCAGTGGGTGAGGGGCCGCCGGGGGTTGGCGGGCACGGGTGTGGGGTGTGCGCATCTCTGTTCTGCATCGCGTGCCCTTTGTTGGCCTGCGCCCGGTAGTGTGAGCACACATCACACGCATGTTACACACACACCAACATGTCACACAGGCACACGTGTCATGCACACACATGTCACACACACAAGTGCACACACCCACACTCACACTCACTCTCGCTCTCACACTCACGCACATGCGCACACACACGCACACACATGCACATATGCATGCACACAAGCACACGCACGCATGCGCACACACCCGTCACACGCACATACACACACACGCGCGCACACACATACGTCCCACACACGACAATGTTCCACCCGCGCGCACATGCTCACTCGCACACAACCCCACCATCACCCACCAGCTGGGCTCTGCGAAGCTGCCAGAGCTGAGTGTCGCGGAGAAGACAGACACCTTCCGCCAGCAGGGCACCGCGGTCACCAGCTTCCGCCTCATGGCCCAGGCCATGGCGGCGGACGCGACGGGCGCGCTGCGGGCGGTGGAGGGGATCGCGCCTGCCGTATCTGAGAAGTTTGTGGTGAGACCCCTCTGCGTCCGGGCCCCACCCCGCGGGAGGGGGACAGGGGCGGCCGCTTTGCCGCGGCCCCGGGCCGCTCTCGTCGACCCGAGCCGTTTGCTCAAACCCCTCTCTCTTCCCCGTTCCCAGAACACGGTGCATCAGCTCGTCCCAGCCGCGGCTCAAACG